TGCTTACATCTACAACATTGCTTTTATACTTCAATTGTACACATAATAAATGAAAGATGACATTTAAAAACATAGACTTATTCCATCAAATCATGTTCCTTAATCGTGAAGAAAGGGGTGAAACAATTGTCCTGGTGCTAAATTTACAAAACCCACTTTATCAGCATCTCGTTGCCGAGTCAACATAGAAGTCACAACCCGAAAAAAAAAGGCGATAATTGATACATTAACAACTCATTGATGTTAATTTAAAGTTTACTACAGTCAATTTCTTTGCACCAATATCTATTATGGCGAGGCTTGTAGTATATAGTAGTGATGAGGAATTTCCGGACGTGAATGAAGTTATTCGAAGAAAGGCGGGAACAAAAACATCAGGAAAAGTATCTGGGGAAACAAATAGGAAGGTCGAGCGGAGTGAACCGAAAAGTGGTCTGAAGAAAGAGAAAGGATCGATGGTCTCAAATGTGGAGGAATTAGGGAGTGATGAAATAGAAAGCTCTAAGAATGCAAAGCCTAAAGCTAGGAAACGCGTTTTGAAGCAGAACTCAGATAATCCGCTTTTGAAACCGTTGAGTATGGGTACGGAGCGATCGAGTACGGAGCCTAGAAAGATATCGGCTTCAAATTCGGCGGTTCTGATGACACGAGTGGCGAAGGAAGAACCAAGGCGGAAGGCAACGGTTGTGAAACCTAGAATACCGGATTTTGAAGAGGAGCGCAAAGTTGTAGCTCGGAACTATAGGGGAACAGATTCGGAAGAGGAAAAGGATGAAGATGATTCGGACGATTTATCGGATTTTGTACCGGTATCAAAGGTGTTGAAGGATGAACCAAAAAGAAAACCAATAGCTCCAAAGCCTAGGATACCAGATCTTGGTGAGAAACGAAGACCAACGGCTAGGAAACCTACGATAGCCGATTCAGAGGAGGAAGACGAAGATGATGATTCGGATAATCTATCAGATTTTATAGTAGACGACGATGACGGTTCTGACGTGTTCAAAACACCACCAAAATCGACTCGAAGACTGGTCAGGGGTCGTAGGACAGTGATCGAAGATTCGAGTGGGACTGATACAGAGGAGGAGATTCTACGACAACTTCTAGACAAAACTACGCTCGACGACAGAGACACACCACCTGCATTCAACCCACCGGTCTTACAGCCACCAAAGAGAGACGAGAAAGTTGAGGTTCGACCGGGGACTTCCTCTAGTTTTGATGACAATGGAGCTGTTTTACGATTGTAAGGAAGTCGATCTCATAGTATTAGAAATATACTAATATATTCAAGCTCTCCCTCATCCAGAAAAGTATCCAAAGGAGTCAAACTATCAACACCCCCAGGAAGCCCGGAATTAAAACCTCGAGGCCTAGCATCACCTAAGAAGTTACCCCGCATACCATCTACACCGCATCGTCCCAGTATGGATAGTTTCTGGTCTCAAGATCTTGTCAACGATTGGAACGATCAATACTCTCCCATGAAAACCCTCCAACCCACCTCCAAACCCAAACTCCAGCCACCTTCAATTTCAGGAGGTACATCTCTCTTCAAGAAACCTCCTTCATTTAAAGCTCCTCGCATAGACAAAGATTCCAAAAAAGCCTTCTCAATCTCCAAACACACCATCGCCTCCGATTTCCTCCTCGAACTCGACACCAAAATCACATCCGGCCGCATTGCCGAACTATCCGCTTCTACAGGCGGAGTCCAAATTATCTGGTCCAAAAAACTCATCACAACCGCCGGTCGCGCAAATTGGAAACGCGAAACCATCAAATCTCCCCTAACCACCAATACCGATGGCAAAGCCCCTACTACATTCCGTCACTACGCATCCATCGAGCTCGCCGAAAAAGTTATCGACGATGAAAACCGTCTTTTGAATGTCCTCGCGCACGAATTTTGTCATCTGGCCAATTTCATGATCTCGAATATCAAAACTAATCCGCACGGAAAAGAATTCAAAGAATGGGCGGCGAAGTGTTCAAATGAATTTGGGGATCGCGGGATTGAGGTTACGACGAAACATTCTTATGAGATAGAATATAAATATGTGTGGGAATGTACGGAAACAGGGTGCAAAACACTGTTTAAGAGACATTCGAAAAGTATCGATACGCAAAGACATAGGTGTGGTGCTTGTAAGGGGGTTTTGGCACAGATCAAACCGGTGCCTAGGGGAGCGGCAAAGAATGGAAAGGAAAATGAGTATCAGATTTTCGTAAAAGAAAATATGAAGAGGATTAGGGATGAGAATCCGGGGAGTCCGCAGAAAGATATTATGGGGTTGGTAGCGAAGAAATATCAGGAGCAGAAGGCTAGTAAAGCTGCACAAGCGGGGGAGAAGGAGAGTACACCTGATGATGGGGATGTGGCGATTGTTGCGAGGAAACTCGATTTCTTGGATTTGACGAGTCCCTAAGAGTGAGAGTGAGAGAATAATCAAATTGAGATCTAAGATTTGTTGAATAACTAATGAAATTCATACTATTCAGACTATTCTTCATAATGACAGCTAATTCTGTAGATACCTACGCATTACTCTGTCCTGACAAAGGGAATGGAAATTTGAAAAACAACCCGTGAAACATAGCAAATCCCCAGCATCCAACCAAATCCATACTAAATCGATCTCCATTCCATTTCATCCCAAACCGATCTCGCCCATCTCTCAATCCCCTTTCATCCGTTCCTCTCTCGCTCCTCTTCCCCATCTCATCATCATCTAAACCTCATCAAAGAGACCCCAATCCTTGATCTTGAAAGTTTCCCAAATCTTAGCTGCATGTTCGACAGCATTCTCAATCAATTTTCCCTGTTTCCCCAATTGCAAATCCACATCATCGGCTGAATATTCGCCTTTAATATGAGGCACATTAATTGTTACTAAGATATCGGTACTCTCTCTTTCTAATCGGATAAGATTGAGTACTATGGCTGTAAAATCTGGAGCTGAGGCGCGGGAATTGGGATCATGAGGGGGTGTTTGAGTGGCGATGAGTGTGTAGGCGGGAGTGTTTTCGCTGGGAGTTGTCAGATTTAGGCTGGGTAGATGAAGGCTTGGTCATGTGACGTGTTGGAGATGGGATGATGGGGGCAGAGGATAGGGAATGGGAAAAGAACAAAAGAATGTGAGGTACATACGGCAATTTAGAAAACTTAGTATCGGTAATCGACCATACTTTCACAGTATCCAAATCGGAATCAACAATATCCTCCAAATGAGTCGTCATCGCCGCTCCATCGGTCGCGGGGCTAGAGCCCGCAGTACCAACTCGCTCGGTGATATCGAATATGATACTGGTGAAACCATCTTTATCCAAATAGACTTCTTGATGGTCGGGAACTTGTCTTATTGTACTGTGGAATTGTTAGTTTGGTGCTGATCGTGATGGTTTTGAGTTTTCGTCAGGAGTGGATGTGGGGCTCTGCATGTGTTTTGATGTTGGTTGGTTTTTTTCTAGAAAGAGCTTACCTAACGTCGGCGAATGTAGATGGAAGGTCGACTATGAGGGCGCCGCCGAAGAGTGGAGTGGAAGAATATGTAGTCATGTTTGTAGATGTTTATTTGGTATCGTATCGTATGAGCGTGAGGATGATGTGATGGGGTTGTTGCTTTTGATATGTTGTGTTGGTAGGGCTGCAGTTTGGGATGGCAGGGTAGGACGTCACTTGTTTGATGATTCGCTTGATGAGGAACAGGGAAGATGTAGGATTGAAGAAATCACCAATATCTGCCCAATACTTCTCATGGGTATTAATTTCCGCTTTGTTATTATTTTTAGAGAGAGAGAAATGGAGTGAAGTACAATAAAGTGCAAAGTGCGAACATGAGATAAAAGGAGAGAAGTATGATTAATTTTTGATGATCATGATGTTCGGTTATAACTGCTCCGTTTTCCGCCTGGGTAGGTTTAAGCGGCTGTGGTTGATAGATGATTAAATACCAACCTTTTCCAAAGAATAACATTTATTCCTCTTATTCTCAATATAAACAGCATTTACAAAATATCTATATCAAAGCGACATCATGCTACTCTTTATTAATTCAATCAACTACTCGATATTGATAATTAAAGGGATATCTCAGGCTCAGATGCCTTGTAATACCCTTCAGCGTTACAATTCAGACGTTGAATTTTCTCCCTGCCGTTGCTTGGATACTTCAGGCTCCGTTACACCATGTTTTGTGATATGCCTCTGCAGCCTTCTTGATCGAGGCTGGCGCGTGTAGTACCGCATATTGAGGATAACAGCAACGATTGTTTGCGACTTCATCAGTTTTATTTCATTCATTTTTCATCGACGTATCACCATGCTTTGCGAAGTTTGCAAATCGATTGATTTTGGAGACTTATGTTACTAATGGTCTCAGTCCTTGTCTGATATGTCAACAGTGGTGAGCCCAGAATTCAACACCATGAGAGTTATGAAAGTCTTCTAGAGTCGGCGCGAAAAGGTTGTGAATTGTGTATCGAAGTTGAAAAGGGCACGCGTATAGGAGGTGCCACATCTACTCTTCATGAAAGATGTTATTTGGGGATAAGTTGTGGGCCAGGGCATTGTTCTGGCCTGTTGAGACAAATAAGAGATGAATCCGCCAAGGGAATTGCTGAGTTCTGGTTTGAGTGGGCGATTTATGAAAATGTCGATGACTGGGAACGTCTCTATCATTCTGTCATTCGTATTTTTTGTGATAAAGGTGCGTGCACAAGTGCAGAATGAGATGTCTTGAGCTCTGAAATTAACACATGTGTGCGTAGAATCTCCGGCTGCAGCGTTGAATATCGTTAGTGGGCGACCTATTCCCACAACACCTTGTTCTTTGGAATCTTTTGAAACAACTCAGGCATGGCTCCAGGATTGTGATTGCAATCACAAAAATTTCTGTCCGAGCAAATGAGCTGCTTTGTTACCATCTCGCGTTATTGACGTTGGTTCCGGAAATGATTCGGGTTTACCACACTTGCATATTAGTAAAGAAGGCGAAATGGGAAACTGGGCTACTTTAAGTCATTGTTGGGGACAAATTAGTAGCCATGTGACTAATGTCTCAAATTTGGATTGTAGAGTGCATTCTATATCTATGCAAGAGCTTCCGCTCACACTAAAAGATGCCATTGAAGTCACGAGATGTATGGGATTAAAGTATTTGTGGGTTGATTCGATTTGCATACTTCAAGGTTCCGACGATGCCCCCCAAGCTGATTGGCTATTAGAATCAAGCCGCATGAGAGATTACTATAAATGTTGTGATTTTTGTATTGCTGCCGACGACGCATCTTCAGATGAGGATGGGTTTCTGAGCATTACACGCACACAAAGAGCAAAGGTTCCTGTTTCCATGTCGCTAGCTCACTGGCGACGCGCAGATTCTTGCGTAATCTACCTTCAAGCAGACCTCAACCCCCGGTCTGAGAACCACATTCTGCCTCGATCCATTCTCGCTACTAGAGGATGGACACTTCAAGAACACGTTCTTTCTCCACGCGCTTTACACTACGGACATGAACAAATTTTCTGGAATTGCCAATTTCAGAGAATCTCAGAGTCGAATTTGAGTCCAGAGATCTTATGGTCAAGCGATAGACCACAGTATGGTATGGACGCTAAAAGGTTCTTTTTAGCGCCAATCCATGGGAAAGAGTATTTGTATAATAAATGCGGCCCCTTGAATGCTCAATTATTTAACACAAGAAGGCGGTGGTACAGCTTAGTCAATGAATATGCTGCTCGTGACCTTACTTTTGAGACTGATAGGCTCTTTGCGTTGGCTGCGTTAGTACAAGAAATTGAAGCACAATCCGGGTTTACTTACTGGGTGGGTATATGGGCGGAAGACGCCCACGCTGGCCTTCTGTGGAGGGCATGTTTGCCGGTGAAAATCTCAGCAGCATATGTTGCACCTTCATGGAGCCGGGCCAGCCGGGACATCAGCTCCTTCTATGATACTGCCAACTTTAGCAATTATCCAGTCGACGGTTGGAAGCTTGACAGCTCGCTATTCAAAGCCAACATATCTAGCTGTGAGATCATAACCGTTGATGGAACCCTTAATGGACGCCTTCTAAATGCAAAGCTCACACTCCGCACCCGTCGAACAATGGCTGGTGCTTACCCCTGCCTTTGCGAGTCGGTGGCTTGCAGCAAAAAGTAAAAGTCATTCTTCGCTGGGTATCTTCTTCTATTTTTACTCTTGTTGCAAAATGGAGAGCTAGCCTTGCATCACTGTCGCAAAAACTTACTCGAGCTCGAAAACGAAAAATGCCAATACCAGAGAATCCTAAATATTATCTCAGCAGAAAGGAGGCGATCCAAAGACTCTCTACCGTGCAGCGCGATTCCAATTACCTCACCATAGTACAGATTGCAAGCTCCAGGGACCTTTCGTATGCACGTGGCGAGGATTACTACCCAAATACCCAAGCTGCAGCTCATAATGGCAGTACAATGTGTCTCCTTGTCCAGCCCGGTACAGAAGAGGGGACTTTTAGGAGGGTGGGCTTAGTACAGATTACGGACGTCGAATATGGGGAATCATTGCCATGGGAAATGCGTACTATCGTACTGGTTTGAGGCATTTCTCCTTTCATTATTCAGCGTCAGTTTTAGCAATATCAAATTATCATTGGAGGAACAGTCTATTTGTAGATTCAGCCCGTCAACCAACCTTCATTAAATCGTGTTCAATAGCACATCTTTGGGGTTGCACTTTAGCTTTGAAGAATCTCGAATGTCAATTATTCTACCTACTATCTCCAATCAAAGCAATCAATAGATTAACCCCCAAAAAACTCAAAACATTCGAGCGTTCACACTCACCATTCAAATACTGCTTGGAATCAACAAAAGCTGAATTCATCAGCACTCTTTCACCCTGTGAATAAAAATCGAGCAACGTTTGGCATCTGTGAACCCCTTAAGTAAGTGATAACGCCTACATACTTAAACTTATCATACGAAAAAGGTGGGGAAAACTCATTGCATTTCTAGAGTATTTGGGGTATTTGAAGATTGTAGAACAAAACTCCCTCATCAGAACAAAATCGTGCATCACACAGCAAAAAGTCAAACTTCATATCCATCCATACATCCATCAATTATTCCCCTCCCAACTTTCTGCATCAACAACATCTCCACAGCCCCATAAAAACCCCCACTCACTCACCATTCCCTCCCCACTCCTCGAAAAATTCCCTCTCTCAAACACCCACGCACCCCCTTCCCCCAAAAAATGCAAAAATAAATGTTCCTGAATAATCAGAAGGTGTGTTACAAAGATTTGAAGAATGGAGTATCTTGGGCATGAGCCACGGTCATCTCTGGTAAAAGGCAAGAAATGAATTCTGAGCTAGCTTGTCCCACTCCGATTTGTAAACTGCACATTTAGAATATATATACCCTTTCGCTTGTGTACTGGCTGGGGGTGGTGCTCGGACCTTTTGCTGGCTGGTCGGGGGATATTCGGGGCTGGGCTGGACACAACTGAGGTCGTTCACCATGTCACGAGAATAGTGGGAAGGTGAAGTGTTGATAATATGTCAGGTTTGGTAAAAATTGTAAGCAAGTAGAATCTTGATGGAATTGTTTGCTGTTTGCGAAAGGAATAAAGGATACTAATTGCATTGGAATTGGTCTTTCAATCAATTATTCCTTGTTCTGACATCTACTTTTATCTACAACCAAACGGAGCCATGTGCGTGAGGAGCTTACATTGAACACTCAGAGCAGAGTATAGAAAATAAGAAATTGGCATCACTGCTTACAAGTTTAAGGGCGACTTTGTATTCACATTGATTGCGAGAGTGACAAGACATTCTACACCTCAACCTTCAGACCCATTATTCAATTAATCTGCCTTTCCTTGTCTTCCACCTCTCATAATTAAGATTTCCCATTCCAATTCCAATTTCAAACCTGAACCCAGAAGATCAAACAATCCATGGTATCTTGACGCCATAACTCCATTCCACCCTCATAAGCATTGCCATTCTCATTTTCTCATCCATCCGTTCGTAGTATCATGGTCCATCTATGTATTATTCCACTTTCCCACATTCCATTGTCTCACAACCATTGTTACCTGCCAGCAGTATTTCTAAGCAGTCCCATCAACCCCATAACCAATACTCTTACCCCATCTCTTCTCTCTTCTCGTTGCCCATCCTTTGATTGCAATCACCAAAATAATCCAAGCCATCAAAAATGTGATGAGACCCATGGAAACTGTAAAAACAAACATCGCATCAAGATCATTCATTTCAATTGCCTTGACTGTATCTTTGCTCTACAATTCTGTTAGTTTTGATACATTCAAGTGAGAGAGGGGATGACATACACTAGCCATAAAAATTAAACCTCCAGCCATCAAACAGAAAGCTGTAATGATTTCTGTAGGGGGTCTACCAGGCAGAATCGAAGTTGGTGGTGAGAGATAGAACACAATATAAGTAGCAGCACGTGCAAAGGCTGCGCCCACAAGTAAAGTTCCCCATTGTCCATGAATCATAGTTGAGACCATTGAATGTTGATGATGAGAACTCATCATCATTCCCAATAGCATGACGACTAAAGCGGGGATTGGGTTCATCGAAACCCTATAGGATTTCGGTTCTTGGGCTTCTAGATGATAGGGAGACATTTGAGATGATGATTGGTGGAGTGTGGTATTCAAAAGGTTGCGAATTTTGCTCGACTCAATAAGCATACCGCACTATGCAAGTTAGAAGTGGTTAGTAATTTACAATTTTGAGGACTCACCAATCCACCACCGATGAACATAATGGTGATTGAAATATGCTCCAGGTCCTGTGCGCTCCATGCACTGCCCCAAGCAGCCAAATGTTCCAGGAAAACATTCGTGGAGCCATAGAAGAAAATAAGGAAACTTTCCACAAACTCAGCGGTTGGAGTAAATCGCCGCTCATTGTCGGGTTTGATATTCCAGGACCAACCAATTTCGGCGAAACAACCTGCCCATCTACCAAGAGTTAAGATTCCATACCAGAAAAAAACCGAACCCTTAATGAAGTGCGCAAGACCACTGTAAATTTCTGCTCCTTTCTGAATTGTCATTTAGTTTCTGAAGATACATATATTCAACGGGCTGGCAAAACTTACAAATAAACCACCATACGTGACGAAACCAGACGTGAGAATAGCAAAACCCAGGAGAAGAATTACTCGATCCACAAAGTCACATGCAAATCGAATTATTCCCAAAAGACGTGCAGAAAATAATCCCGGAAGTCGTTTCGACAAGTATTGATCCACCTGAGTACCATCCATCAACCCCACTTTTTCAAACTCGTCATTTTCCGATTCATTCAGAGTGTTTTCATCATCTCCAGACAGAGACATCGATTGGCTTCGTAGAGATTCGGTACCTGGTTCAGTACCTTGACCACTATCATCCGATAATCTGGGGATAGGTTTAGGTCGTTCGTGCATGCGGGTATGCTCTGCCATCGCTTCTCTCGAAACTGGAATATACCCGGAGTTCTCCTCTTCCTTCTCGCCTCTGCGCCCCGCGTAGGCACTGATGACCCCTAATAGCGCTTGTGCAGTGACTACGCATACCAAAAACCACCCCAATTTATGATGAAAATTATTCGGATAAAGGTTCGGAGTGGAAGCATTGTATATTATACTGCACAGGAGACCGCCACCGTTCAAAGCTAGAAACACGAATTGTGTAGGAAGACTCAATCGAGATCGAGAGATGGAGAGCATCACACCTAAAATACATTAGATTTTGGGGAAATTTCACTGTTCCCGAACCACTCACATATTGGCAGAACAAACACCCACCCTATGGTCATGAGTATAATATGAGCTACCATCAGATTTCCATGTTCAGGATATCGAAAATAACTAGAGGGTTCAGCCACCACGGTGTCCATGCCGGCCGAAACTGTGGCTGTAGAAATATGTGTGGCTACCGAACTCATTGGCATGCTCATATCCATTTCCGGTTCTTCATCGCCGTGTGCGGCTATTAGAGGTGCAAGTCCGAGCAATACAAGACTGCTACATAATGCGAGGTTTCGCAGATGTGAAGGCATTTGATTAAATCGGGTACTGCGCTAGTAGTGGAAAATGCGATGATAGTAAGAAAAGTACTGAGTGTGAAAAAGAGCACAATGTAAATAATCTAGGGTATCTAGGTATCTAGGTATCTCAAGGTGGTATGGAACAGTGAAGGATGAGGTAGAAAGAAATTACAAGTGCGGCGTTCACCAAATATGTATACTGATGATGAAAACAAAATAGTGGAACAAAAGAAAGAGATATTCTAGAAGAACAGTCTTGTCTTTGCGCCGAAAAGGAAAATGTGTGGGTAAAGAAGTCGGAAGGAGGTAGAAACATTGCCCGCAGAATGACGACAAATAAATAGGTTTCCCGTGATGGAATCATGGGAATGAGGTAAAAGCAATGGAAAGAAAGGATTTTTGCCAACGGTGATAACTCCGTACTTTCCGATATCGAGTCATTCGAATGGAACAAGAAGTTTTTGGATTTCTTACTCCACTGACCAACTTCGCGCCCTATGGATCGAAATATAGATGTGCATATACAAAGGCGTCAGCCAGCTAGTACGTACGAGGTTCCAGATGACTAGGGATTGGATAATCGACATCGTTTTTGCGAAAGATCGAGATTTAGGATTTTGGTGGGTTTACTACCTTACCTTACCTGACCTTACCTTTACCTACCTTGGGTGCTCTTGAGTCTTGTTGCTTCTAAATGAATTCTAGATCGCATATGGGTTTTTTCGATGAGCTAGGTACCTAGTATACAATTATATTTTGATAGATGACTAAGCTAACATCTGGAAGCAATAAGCTAACTACCGCAAGCGGCGGCATTTAAAATGGGTGATATCATCCGACTTTTCCATTACATTTGATGTTCTAGTTCTCTCCTTCAAAAGGACAATACATGATATGATATCTAATTATTGGATCTGACCTCAGCTGTATGTAATGACTTCTCTCTATATTCTCACATCATTGTTCATTCAGAATTCTCGGGATCTAGCTGAATAAGGTGGGTAATTGAAGCTAGGTAAGAAAGCCACAAGGAAAGCTATAGGGCTTGGCGTGCATGAATATGACGTGGGGCGTTAAACTGAATATTACTAGGTAGGTAGTTTATCAAACTCTGTACAAGTACTCGTAGCGTGCAAGGTGATCAAAGTATTAAGTGTATCCACAGCAGAACATCAACACTCAAAATGAACAACATCCGCGCAACGAAACAACCGCGCGACAAGATATACATGCACACATACATACATACATACATACACATACTGTCAAGAAGAGACAGTAGAAGATTCTTTACCTAGATTTCCAAGCATATCATCTTGGCTAACATGAAACTCATCAATGAGAGACTCGGTACAAGATTTCTTTTCTGCAAGGAATTCAATCAAAACACACATTGACTTCAAACATCTCAATTACCTACCTACATCAACGGATCTGACAACGCAGCTGACACACCAACCTTACCATACTCCGGTCTTTAGACTCACAATTACTAATGGATAATTAATAATTAATAACATACTT